GTGTGCAGGAGCCCTCTATGCGAGGCATCACCATGGCTCCCTTCTCCCAAGGTCTACAGCAGCAGGAGGCTGGAGGCAAGCATTAAATCCAGGCATATGGGGGGAGGGAGAGGGTACCTGGCATGATAGCCTAGCAGCTTAAGTCCTCACCATGCACATGCTGTGCTAGGATCCCATATGAGCACCAGTTCTAATCCCGGCGGTCCCACTTTCCCATCCAGCTCCCTGCTTGTGGCCTGAGGAAGCAGTGGAGGACAGCCCAAAGCCTTGGGACCCTGCACCTGCGTGGGAGACTCGGAAGAAGCTCCTGGCTCCTGGCTTTGGATTGGTGCAGCTCTGGCCACTGCAGTCACTTGGGGAGTGAGTCATTGAACAGAAGATCTTCCTTTCTGTCTCTCCTCCTCTCTATATATCTGACTTTCCAATAAAAATAAATCTTTAAAAAAAAAAAAAGCCCCAGACACACAGAGATGGTGTATGTAAGGTGACAAATGGCCAGGCCAAACACCCGTCCTTCTCCATTTTTGCTTTTTGTCTATTGCCCTTCTGTCCGTGACCATCCTTCCTATCTCCTACAAGCCTTACCAAAGGCCATCTCGTGGCTAGTTGGGCTCTGACCCACACTTGTCTGCCGGTTAGAGGGAATGCTACAGGGATGCGAAGGAGCGTACAGGACGAGGCGTGTGGTGGTGGGAGGGGCCTGGAGCTTCCCTGCCTCCCAGCAGCACTGCTGTGGCAGCGGGGCACCAAACCCAGGGACTCCGGGCTGGGACAAGGGCGTCTTCCCTGGAAGCCCGAACACGTGCCCACTCCTGCGTAGGCTTTCTTATGACCCACCTGGAAGAAGAGAAATTCTGGTTATCGTGGCCTGCCCGGGAAAAGCAGTTACAAGTCAAAAGTATGGCACATCCCTGATATTTGAACACAGCTGAATCAGTAAGCACCATGGAAGATGCTGCTGCGTCGCCAGCAGGGACGAGAAGGTCATTGTTAGGTGACAATGTACCCTCAGAGGCTGCGAAGGACACGGGTGGGACCAGCAGCACGGAGCCTCCCTCCCAGTCCTGGGTTCAGGAGCCGGCAGCAGCCAGCCAGCTCCCGTGGGGTTCATCCGGCTTCTCTCCCACCATGGCCATGAACACCCTTAAGCAGGCACTTTGCTGCCTCCTTGTGGCAGAAGGAGCTCTGTGCCACAGACAGGGAGAGGGAACCTTTTGGGATTGGAACCTAAAGGACCCTAAATGACCGACCCCTTCTCAGACTACCATTGGTGGACAGGACTGTGGGCTGCCATTGTTCCAGGATACGCACAATCCGTGGGCTTGCCTCCAGGCATATTCAGATCAGGGTGAACCTGCAACGGCCAGTGATGGACCAGGTGAAAGCTAGGAGCCAGGAGCTTGTTCCAGGTCTCCCATGTGACTGCAGGATCCCAAGGACTTGGGCCATCCTCCACCGCTTTCTCAGACCATTAGCAGGATGTTAGATGGGGCACAGAGCAGCTAGGACTCAAAACCAATGTCCATACGGGCGCCAGCGCCACAGGTAGTGGCTGTATCGGATATGCCACCCGGCCAGCTCCGGGAGGTTTCATTTCTAGCATCTCAGTGCTTCCATTTCTTGTTTTGCAGTGTCCCACCCTCGCTCGGCATCCCCTCTGTTCCTGCATGCTGAGTCTCCTTCAAAGCAGGGTTTGTGGCTTCTACGCAGTGCCCCGGTGAGAGGGGCGGTTCTCAGCTAGACGTGTCTCCTCTTGCGCAGCAGTGACTCTCATCTCTTTGTTCCAAGTCAGCCTCCGTCAGCAAGCGCTACACAGGAGACTGGGCGTGGCCTTCCTTTCCAGGCTGGCTCCTGGCCTCTTCTGTTCCATGCCTCTCTGCAGTCACTGCTTTATTTATTTATTTATTTATTTATTTTATTTTTTTAAAAAGATTTATTTTTATTATTTTTTTTATTGGAAAGGTGGATATACAGAGAGGAGAGAGAGAGAGGAAGATCTTCCGTCCGATGATTCACTCCCCAAGTGAGCGCAACGGCCGATGCTATGCCGATCCGAAGCCAGGAGCCTCTTCCTGGTCTCCCACGCGGGTGCAGGGTCCCAAAGCTTTGGGCTGTCCTCGACTGCTTTCCCGGGCCACAGGCAGGGAGCTGGAAGGGAAGCGGGGCTGCCGGGATTAGAACCAGCGCCCATATGGGATCCCGGGCGTGCAAGGCGAGGACCTTTAACCACTTGCGCCACCGCGCCGGGCCCTATTTATTTATTTTTAAGATGTATTTATTTGTATTGGATAGTTAGATATTCAGAAGCAAGGAGACCGGAGCCTCTTCCAGGTCTTCCACGCAGGTGCAGGGTCTCAAGGCTTTGGGCCATCCTTGACTGCCTTCCCAGGCCACAAGCAGGGAGCTGGATGGGAAGCGGGGCCACCGGGAGGCTGGGCTGATTGTTCCTACTGGTGCAAACATAAATCAGAGTGGGTGAGGGTTGGTTGGCCTTTGCCGCAGTATCAGCTGGCAGAGGCTGGCACTGGGGGCTAATTCTGTCAGGTTAAACTGCAGAACCACCTGGAGAGTGCATAATCAGGAAGTAGGAGTGACCCAAGAGGGAAATAGTGGGCAACTCCATCTTGGGTTACCACTCTCACTGGAAAGCATAAAACCCTGGACAGGGGCAGGGGTAGCTAGACAGAACGGCACCCACCAGCATGTGTGTGGACTGGATAGTAGTAGGGCTGGTTGGGTTGAACTAGGCTTCAATGCCCATTGACATGTATTTTGAGAGCTAAACGGGCTGTGGGACAGACTGGACAAGCCTGCAGTACATACTGGCAAGCATGGGAATGAGGGTAGTGGGCAGGCCTGGTGTGGGTTATGGGGAGTTGCCCCAACTAGGCTGCAGCTCCCACTGGTTTGCCTGAGGGCCGAGTATGAAGTGGGTTTGATTGTGCTGGACTGTAACACCCATTGGTTAGCATGGAAGACAGGGCTGGAAACAGGACTGACCCAGCAATTGCAATGACCATCATGTGCATAAGCTGATTGGGGCAATGGACTGTGCCGGGCCCTGTACTGGCAAGCACACACAAGAATCAGGTCTGGGATCACCTCAGATGAAGTTTCTTTGGGGATCCCTCCAGCTGAACTGCTGATCTCAGAACCCCAACCATGAAGAGACCATGTCAGCCAGTGGATTCTGAAGAGATTTCATCGTTGTTCTTGGAACAGTGAGATTGGCAGGAGTTCAGAACAGTTGAACTATCAAAACTGCTTGAGCAGGACCCTCGGGGCATGCCCACATCGGGGACCTGGGATGGGTGGGAGGCTGGGTGGGGCTTCTCCCTTTGTTTCCCCTTACCCCAGATACAGGAAAAAAAGATAATAATATTAATGTAGAAACAATGGTCTTACCCACTTTCGTGTAGCCCTTGACCCTTTGTGCCCTAACCAACTATGTAAAGATTACCAAAATAAAAGAATTAAGTGACAACAAACAAACAAACAAATGAACAACAACAACAAAACTGGCGTCCATATAGGATCCCAGTGCGTGCAAGGCAAGGACTTTAGCCACTAGGCTATGGCACCGGGTCTCTTACAGTCACTGTTAAGGTCAAAGTAAGCTTCCCTCTGGTTCCTCCCACTTGAGCATTAGTTTCTCAGCTTGGGAGCGGTCCCTGCAGCTGTGGACCCCACAAGCACAGAACAGACTTTGAGACATGCCCTCTCAGAGTGTTTAGGGGGTAGAGGTGGTATCTTGTTTGACCAGACATGTCAAGTTTACCTGAAAACAAAAACTGAGGCTCGTGGCTGGTGGAGTGGTATACCAGGCTAACCCTGAAGCACCAACATCCCATAGAGCGCCAGTTCGTGTCCTGGTTGCTCCACTTCCCTTCCAGCTCCCTGCCTGTGGCCTGGGAAAGCAGCAGAGGACGGCCCAAAGCCTTGGGACCCTGTACCTGCATGAGAGACCCAAAAGAAGCTCCTGGCTTCCAGCTTCAGATCAGCTCAGCTCTGGCAAGTTTAGCCATTTAGGGAGTGAGCCAGCAGATGGAGGGTCTTTCTGTCTTTCCTTCTCTCTCTAAAAACCTCCCTTTCAAATAAAACTAAATAATTATTTTAAAATGAAAGACAATTTAAGATTATTTTTTAAACTTTGTCTTGGAAAGTCAGATTTGATGGAACACAACGGCCAGAGCTAAGCTGATTTGAAGCTGGGAGCCAGGAGCTTCGTCCATGTTTCCCACACAGATATAGGGTTCCAAGGCTCTGCTTGTTTTCCCAGACCACAAGCAGGGAGCTGGTTGGAAGTGGAGCAGCCGGGACACAAACTGGCTCCCTTAGGAGATCCTGGTGGTTGCAAGGCAAGGATTTAGCCACTAGGCTAGCATGCTTGGCCCAAAAAATAAAATGTAAAAACTGCGCCTGTACTAAACATTTACAGATTTTTTTTGGTTAATATGTATTCCAGGCAAAATAGCATGGAGCTGGGTGGGAAGTGGAGCAGCTGGGACTCGAAGCACAACCCATATGGGGTGCTAGCACCACAGGCAGAGGCTGGGAAAGATTTTCTCAACCCTAGAGCAAGGAAACTGACAACACTGCGAGCCTATGGAAGCCCCTCTAGGAACACCTTTGGACCCTCTTGCCCACATCTGGGTCTCTAAGGCGTCATCACAGAACTGTCCCTCATCCCGGGGTGCTGATGTGGTGTGACGGCAAGGATGGCCCTCTGCCCTCCTCCCCTGGGGACACAGGAGGAAAAACTGAGACGTGTGTCCCATCCACCTTGCTCCACGCTGACCTTCCCCACTCTCATCAGAAGCCTACATGGGCATGCATCCCTCTCTACTATGTATTCAGAAGTAAAAGAAAATAAAGTTTTTAACAGCAATGAACCTTATTTTATTTCAAATGTGCAGTTTGGGAGGAGGGCAGTTCTCGGGGGCTGCTGAGCAGCACAGTGGCCGGGCACCTGTTGCTGCAACAAGCCCGAGGCCCGCTGGCTAAGGTGGGGGCTGCGAACTGGCGCTGTCTTCATCCTCATTGCCCTTCTCTGTGCCAGCGAGGGCCTCTCTCGACTTTTTGCCAGCAGACTTGGCTGATTCATCTGTTGGCTCCTGGCGCTGCTTCTTCTGGGCAGCGGAGGCACTGAAAGAATCCACACAGTGGTGGGTTGGAGGTGTTGGGGGCACTGGGGCAAGGCCCTGCACGTGGGAGTGGCTGCCCAGCTTCCCCAGCAGCTTCCCATGCCAGGGCTCTGCTCAGACTAGACCTGGGTGTGGGGACTGAACCACCTGACACACCACTTTGGCTAAATCCCAGGGCCTCCCCACGCCTTCTCCTATGACTACCCCTGGCTTCACTGTACACACCCCTTTGCCATTTCTGCCCCTCTTCCACCCCATACTCATCTCCTTGGCCACCATGAAGTTCTGGCCACCTGACCCTGACATGGGGACCCAGGCTGCATGCTGGACTCTGTCCACAGGCAGGACTAACTCAGTGAACTTGTGCAGTGCATAGGAGCCAGCAGAGGCACGTTACAGCCACCTCTGCTCCTTAGCAAGAGCTGTCCTTGTGGGAAACGCTATTCTTATAAGTGCCTTCGCCCAGAGTAGAGACCCCGAAGAGGCGCAACTGTGGGTGAAACACATGTGCCTGAGACAGGGTGAGCGGAGAATGCTGCCCGCCCACTGTGCTGGAGAAGGAGCGGAAGGCAGAGGCTGGCTGCCTGCTAGCCATTCTGTCCGCCAGAGCCAAATCAACATGCCAGCCACAGTGGCAGCCCTTTCCCTCCACAGGGTGGGTCCTCATGGTCCCGCCCAGCTGACACCTGCAGGCCCATTTCAGAGCAGGGGGCCCACCGGGGACTGGCCACCTCCAAGGCTGCTGTGCTGCTCCAGGGCTGCTGTGCTCAAGAAATGAAATGATCAATCATTCATCACGCACTCCAGGCTCCTTCTCGGCCGCCCCATCCCTGGTTCTGCAGGAGCTGTGCCCTCTGTTCCCGTGCAGCCCTGGGCAGAGCTAAGGATGAGGCCCTGCGGCAGTCTTGCTACCTGACCGCATGCAAGGCCCTTCGGGAGGGCTGCAGAGGCCCCGGCAAGACACAGGGCCCGGCGGCATGGCCTAGCCGCTAAAGTCCTCGCCTTGAACACCCCAGGATCCCATATGGGCGCCAGCAGCTCCACTTCCCATCCAGCTCTGTGCTTGTGGCCTGGGAAAGCAGTCAAGGACGGCCCAAAGCTTTGGGACCCCACACCCGTGTGGGATACCCGGAAGAAGTTCTTGGATCATGGCTTCGGATCGGCATAGCATCAGCCGTTGCGCTCACTTGGGGAGTGAATCATCGGGCAGAAGATCTTCCTCTCTGTCTTTCCTCCTCTCTGCATATCTGACTTTCCAATAAATAAATAAATCTTTAAAACAACAACAACAAAAAAGAGTGGAAGATGCAGGCCGGCCTCATGTGTCCAATGTGGGCCAATATCCCGGGACACCGTTAGCATCCGGGGCAGGAGTGCATGGGCTGCCACGCAGAGGCGGGTCTCTTGGAATCCAGAGTAAGCTTACCGGGCCTGGAGGGATGTCAGGCTCCTGTGCAAGCAGGAATGCACCCGCATGGCCAGCATGCGGGGGATGTCTGGGCCGCCCCTCTGCGGATCCCAGGGCAGGCTCACCGGCGTCTTCTTTTCTATGGGGTGGCTGGAAGAGGCCACATCCATCTTCCACACGGCTTCCATCTGTTTCCCTGGTTGGCTGGGGTTGAGGCGGGGCCGGGGTGTTGGGGGAAGGATGGGGCATGGCGAAGAGAGTTAGACACAGAGACACAGCACAGCAACCAGCTCTCTGGCTTCGTTTTTTTTGCCCTGCTATAGCAACAGTCAGTTACTGCCCTCCCGACCATGCCTCCCGCCCCGGCCCACATCACAGTCTTACTTCCTTGTGGGCGCATGAGGCTGAGGAACCGCAGGGAGAGGCTCCCAGCACGGCCCCCTGTGTCTCCGAGGGCTGGAGCCCTGTACCATACCTTGCCACAGTGGGAGCACGGCTCCCAGACGCTTATGGCAATGTCTCTTTCATTATTATTCATTTGAGAGGCAGAGAGCGAGAAAGCTAGCTGCCATCTGCTCGTTCGCTCTCCAAATGCTTTCACTGGCCACAGGCAGATCAAGGTCAAAGCCAGGGGGCAGGAACCCGATCAGGGTCTGCTTTAGCCGGAAACTGGCACAATCAGGAGTTGGATCTGGGAGCAGGACCCGGTGGCTCCAGGGTGGGATGCAGCTGTCTTTACCTCCAGCCCACACACCTGCTTCCTCAGGGTTGTCTTTGACCCTAGGGGTCACATTAAGAAGAACCAGGCGCGTCTGTATAGACAGACCAGTGACACATGCTAGGTCGATGTTGAGGGTGGATAGGATCGTGTGGGTTTTGGCCGTGGACCCTGGATTGCGGAGCTTGAAACACACTGAGTCAAGTTAGCCCCTGAGAACCACATCCACTGTGGTCACTGGAGGAAAGATGGCTGGGGGAAGACAGGCACCTCATACCCAGCAGGAGGGAAGCATCTTGGCCCGTCTGTGCCCCCGCCCTGCGGGCCACCCTCTGCCCTTTTTCTCAGCACTTACCAGGCCATGTGCAGGGGCACACATTCCCGCTGCCTGGAGGCAAAGGGCTGCCTGCGGGCAGTGCTGGCTGAGCAGGTGCGCTGCTGCCTGGGGCAGGCTGAGGGAGGCCTGTGCTTCCTTGGCTTTCTGGAGGTGGCCTCAGGGATGCTCAGGTGGATGTTCCACTCTAGCTGGAGCTACAGAAGCCAGCAGGAATCAGGGAGTTAGGTCAGCACTGCAGGAGCAGCGGGTGGAGAGGGGACGGCCAGGCAATGCCTCCAGTTAGAAACCTCAGGAACTCAGAGCACCCGCACGCTCTTAGAGAAGCCCTGAGCTCTCTCAGCTGTGGGGCTAACTGCTGTTTTCTCCTTTGTCACGGACAGCCTGGACAGCAGGGAGAGAAGCCAGGGTAGCCAGAGCTGCAGCACTTGGCAGAGTTCGTGACCAGGGGCTAGGTTATGCGCGCTGAGAAGGGAAGCTCTTTGAATTAGCCTGGTCCTGGGCGGTCAATGCTGGTCATGTGGCTCCTTTCCTTCCTAACCCCTAAGCCAGTTCAGCCAGTCAGGAGGTCAACAGATGGCGGAAGGTGAAAAGGAGAAAGAAAATGTGCTGAGTCAGCACACTGCCTCTTGCCCAGAGTCGGAGTGAAGCGCACCCCCCCCCCCACCCCGCCGCCGGCATGCTGGGCTGTTGCAAAGTGTGGTGGGCTTCCCCACTTCCTCCAAGTCCCCCTATTATCCTAGCCCCATCCCTGTGACCCACAATGGCACAGGCTGTTTCTCTGGCCCTGGTCACCGCAGGAAAAGTGAGGAGTATGGAAACCGGCCTCCCTCCCACCTCCAGCAGCCCCAGACCCAGATGCGGCTGCTGCAGCCCCACGCATGATGTAGGCAAGTCTGGTGGGGAAAGATGTGCCTTGCAGGGGTGGTACAAGGGGCAATCCCGACACGTAAAGGCAGGGGTGGGCATGGCAAGCCAGGAACTACACTGCTAATGTTGCCAATGGGCAGGGGCGTCTACTGGCTGGGTTTTCTTCTTGTTTGTAGAGATTCCCGTTTTCTTCTTGCTTGTAGAGAGGCTGGGAAGTGGGCGAACCAGCCATTAAAAAAAAAAAAAAAAAAAAAAAACCAGAAGAAGCCAGAGAAGCTAAATCTAACATTTGAAAGGGAAGAGATAGAGGAGTCTTTGATCCCATTACTCCAAAATGTTAGCTGTTATCTCCTTGCCTTATGGGTTTTGATTTTTTTTTTTTAATTTCAGTACTATTTTGGATCCACTGTAAATGTCAGAAGTTTCAAGGGTCCCCATTTGACAGTAAGTTTACTTTTATTTTCTTGGTAATTCAGTCTAGAGCCAGCTCTTGGTATCCCAAGGATACTGATTCACGGACCCCACCCATCTCTACACCAAACTGAAATCTCTTTTATAAAAGAACACAATAGTTACAAATAATCTGGGCATATCGTACTGTATACTTTTTTGGGGGAGTAAAGATTTATGTGAAAGAGGTAACAGAGAGAGATAGGGAGAAAGGGAGATAGCTTTCATCTGCTGGTTCATTGCCCAGGACACAACGGCCAGTGGCCAGGCTGAAGCCAGGAACTGCAGATCTGACCTGGTCTTGAGATGATTGATAATACCGACTCAGCGTGAGTGCTGCTGAAAGCCCAGATGCAGAGCCCACGGACATAGACAAGGATTGGTTTGCATATCGATCTGTACTCTCCTGCCCTTCAACCGGCAGCTGTTCAGCTACACCGAGAGAAAACAAGTTTGGAGGCCAGAGTATTTTGGAGTCCACACAGAGGCTTTCTGGGTGTGAGAAAACAGGAGGAAAATGGGCATTTCCATGTATTCTAAATTGGACTTCCACGGGGATCTGGGTTCTGCTATAATCAAGTGGGTGGGTTTGGAGTCAGACGCGCTACCATTGCACCACGAGGTTGGCCAAGTGGGTGGGTTTGGAAGACTGAGGTTTTCTTGACTGCCAGTTTCTGGGGGCAAAAATGTGAACTCTTGGGCCCGGCGCAGTGGCGCAAGTGGTTAAGGTCCTCGCCTAGCACGCCTGGGATCCCATATGGGCGCCGGTTCTAATCCCGGCAGCCCCGCTTCCCTTCCAGCTCCCTGCTTGTGGCCTGGGAAAACAGTCGAGGACGGCCCAAAGCTTTGGGACCCTGCACCCGCATGGGAGACCCGGAAGAGGCTCCTGGCTTCGGATCGGCATAGTATTGGCCCGTTGCGCTCACTTGGGGAGTGAATCATCGGACGGAAGATCTTCCTCTCTGTCTCTCCTCTCTGTATATCCGCCTTTCCAAGAAACAAATAATAAAAATAAATCTTTAAAAAAAAAATGTGAACTCTCAATGAGGCTAGGGGAAAGACGAGATGAGGTTCCACACATACTGAGAGAAACAGAGAGGGAAAACGCGTGTGTAGATCAATTCTAGATCAGTTTATCTAGATCAGCCTAGATAAACGTCTCCTCATCCAGGGGCTGTGGTTCCTTGGTAGGACAAGAACGCAAGCACTTCAACAGGCTTACGGAAAATGAAAGTAAGAGAGAAGTTTACGGGGCAGCATTGTGGCATAACAGAAAAAGTCTGTTTGTGACACCAGCATTCCATGTGGCGACACGTCACTGGCAATCCAACATCCAGCATGGGCTCATACACTGGAAAAACACAGGAAGATGCTTTAAGGGCTCAGGCCTTTGCACCTGCGTGTGAGACTTCAGCCAAGTCCAGAACCTGGTGATTGGGGCCATCTGGGGAGTGAACTAGTGCATGCAAGGTTTCTTTCTCTCCCTCTCGGTAACTGCCTTGAAACACAGAGAGAAAAACTTTCCTGGATTGGTTCATTTTCCAAATGTCTGCAACTATTGGAGACAGGCCAGCCTGGAGTCAGGAACTTCTTCCAGGTCTCCCAAATGGATACAGGAGCTTGAGGAGTTGGGCCATCCTCCACTGCTTTCCTAGACCGTTAGCAGAGAATGAGATGAGATATGGAAGAACAGGGGCTTGGAGCAGTGCCCACATGAGATCCTGGGGCCACAGGCATATGTAACATTGACCCCCACATGGAATTTTTTTTTTTTAAAAAAGATAAGCTTAACTTGGCAGAAAAAGAAGATAAGCTTAATTTTGTATGAGAAAAAAGATGAGCTTAATTTGGCATGAAAAAAATGTATATTATAAAAAATTTAACATGGCTTTCTAAGTTTTCTTACAACAAAGTAAACATCTTTTATGAACATTTAAACATCATCTATGAACATTTAAAAAATATTTATTTTATTTATTTGAAAGTGTTATGAGGTGGGGAGGAGACAGGGGTGATCTTCCAGTTCAGTTCCCAAATTGTCCCTGTTGTCAGGGCTGAAGCCAGGAGCCGGGCGCTTCTTCCAGGTCAACTATGTGGGCGCAGAGGCTCATGTGCTGCTGCATTCCCAGGCATACTGGTAGGGAGATAGATTGGAAGTGGGGAAGCTGGGGTTCGAACCAGTACCCAGGAGCCAGGAACTCCCTGCAGGTCTCCCACACCAGTGGTATGGGACCAAGTACTTGGGCCACCTACTGCATGTTTCCCAAGTACCTTAGCAGGAACCTGGATTGGAAATGCAGCATCTAGGACTCAAACTGGTTTTCTGATAAGAGTTGCCAGTGATGCAAACAGCAACTTAACAAGCACCATTTCCACAGACCTTTCAAAGTACTTTCGCATATGCCAAAAAGTGTTCACTGAATAAGCATAAACTAAAACTCCTATCTATGGAAACTTTTGGGACTCTCATTGTAAAAAAAAAAAAAAAAAAAAGTACCTGAATAGCACTGGATTTTTTTTTTAAGCTATAAAGCTATAATAGAGTAACAGGGACTAGTGTACCTTTTCTGCTTTAAACAACTTGTTGACCAAACAAAACCAATGAAACAGTGATTGTCAGATTGTCATTCAGACAACAGGGAATGAGAGAGAAGAGGCAGACGGTGTCTAGACAGCAAGGCAGAGGACCCTAACGGAATCTGGCAGCTTAGCTCAGCGGAGGAGAATGTTCAATCGTTCAGGAAGGCCACAGCGGCCAGGATTCAGAGTGAGAGAGGAGCAAGCTGCACGGGACGGAGCCCAGAGAGCTGCAGAGGGACTGCCAAGCCCACAGCATGGGCGGGAGGGTGTGGAAAGGCTGAGGCTGTCCCACGGGGCAGGAACGGGGCAGTCCTCAGAGCGCCCATCCCCTGCGGAAGAGTGTGTTCACATCTGTTACAGTACTGTCAGGAGAGACACCCACTTGAACCCAGCAAGCATCCTTCAAAACCGGAAGCCAGATAACCTTCGGGAAAACGGAGACTGCCTTGCTGGCCCGTGAAGGATGTGAAGGTCTCCACACAGGAGGACAAGGGACCAGAATCCGCCTGGTTCTGCACAAGGGCAGAATGAGTTATGGAAATGGCAAATGTCTGGGAATCCAGGAGAGTTTAGATTGTGTGAAGTCGAAGTGATGATGCATTCAGGAATTCTCACCTGATAAGACAACAGTAGGAGCAAGGCCAGGAGGGAGATGCTTATGGACACTGTTGGAGGCTTTCAGGCATGAAATGATAGAATCCATTTTTAATACATGAAAGAATAGAATACTATTTGAAGGTATAACGTATAAAATGCTGTATTATAAGCCCCAGATAAACAATTAAAAAGAATAAAGATGCGCACCCAACACACCCAGCATGGAGATACAATAGAATTGAGAAATTAAATTTCTCCAAAAAAGACAGGGAAGTGGAAAAGGGGACTAAAGACAAGATGGAACAAATAGAAACAAGGAGTGAACTGTTGATTTAAATTCAACCATGCTGATAATGTTGTTCAATGCACATGGTCTAAAAACCTCCAAGTGAAAGACAGGGACCAACAGATTGCCTTAAAAAGTTAAGATCCAACTATAACATACCAATTAAAAACATGAATTATATCCAAAACCAGAATCAGGCTAAAAGTAAAAGAAGACAGGAGTGACTATATCAACACAGATTTAAGAACAAGGAACACACTTAGGAATAAAGAAGGCCATCTCATCTAAGGAAAAATGGCCACACTGCAAGAATACTTAACAATCTGAAATATGTATGCACCTGATTGCATAGCCTCAAAGTGCCATAAACTTGATAAGGTTTATAAACCTGGTGCAAAAATTATATGGACCTGG